ACTGGCCATGGAGCACTGTGGGAAGCAGCCATCTCGCTGTTAACAATTTAAATCTTGAATTGAAGACAGGTTCAGTTAACTTCCTGCTCGGGCCAAATGGAGGAGGTAAAACGACGACGCTGAAATGTATCGCGGGCATCATACCTGCGGACAAAAGTTCTCGACTGGAGATCAATCAAAATGCCACGTTTTTTGGCGTCTGCCCCCAGCACAATGTAAATATCACTCCTTCCAGTTATGTGCCGAGTTAATATTTGTAGGTTTTCTGGGAGAGACTGACGGTTGCCGAACACGTCAGACTTTGGAGAAAGATTAAAACTGGAGCAGCTGTGGTTGGAGGCGAAGATGATGTGCTTGCAGAGTGCGATATCTTGAAAAAATCTAACCAAGCTGTAGAGACATTATCTGGAGGCCAGCAAAGAAAGCTGCAGCTTGCCATTGCATTTGTGGGAGATTCCACAATGTGCTTCATCGATGAGGCTTCCAGTGGCTTGGTAGCTACAGCTGATCCAAAGTCTCGACCACTGCTGACAGATTTTAGGATCCTCTCTCAAGACGCAATATCTGGAACATCATCTCCAATTGTCACTCGCGCCGCACCATCTTGATAACTACACATTTCCTTGACGAGGTGAGGAATAAGCCCAGATCTTATTCTACTCACAATGCTAACTCTTCTCAGGCTGACATTCTTGCGGACCATATTTCAATCATCTACAAAGGAGGACTTGTGTGTACCGGCACCCCCACTTCACTGAAAGCCAACTACGGACTGGACCTCAAGATCCGCCAGATCGCGACAGAAAATGACGCATGCTACGAAGAAGATGATGAAAATGATAATGACAAAATGCCTACTTGGAACGTGAAGACTTCTACTGAAGCAACAAAGAAGATTCTCGAATTGGAAGAGCTATCGGGTGGTTTATACTCAGTTACCTTCCCGACGCTAGAGCAAGTCTTTTTGAACGTGACTAATTCATCGCTGATCGATGGTAATGGCAACGGAGATGTGGCACTTGGTGATCAGATATCTAGACAGGAGACTGAGCTCGAAGAACTGAACCCAGGAAGTGTGGAGGGGGTAACCCTTGAAGTTGGGAAGCAAACTAAGCTACTTCACCAAGTAAGTTGCCAATTCGTCGGCCTAACTCTCATACTAACTACATTCAAGATTCTAGTCATCCTGAAGAAACGCTACCTTCTAGCACGGCACAGCTGGATGAGTTATGGAATCGCTCTCGTAATCCCAATTGTCATTGCCGGTGCCCTAGCCAGCACGGTCGCCAAATTCGACAGCTTTGATCTCTGTACACATAGAATGGACGTTACCATGCGAAATGCAAGCAGAGCAGAGTTCGCGTCTTTGGGAGAGAGTTTTGATACTTACGATGTTCTCGGCCCTTTGGATACCCCTGATTTCTACAGCGCTGAGGACCTTGCATTCTACGCAATTTCTAGCATTGCTGGACCACCGGCTGCTTTTGATGGCGAAGCTCAAAATATGATATACGTCGAGAACATGGGACAATATTTTTCGGCATTCAGTCTTGAAAAAGAGGGTATTAGTGGAGAGCAGAAGGCTCTAGCTACTCGTGGCAATGCATCTTCACTTACAGAAATGATCTCCATGGTCAAAGATCACCACGGTGAGCCAGCATTTGGTGTTTTCGCTGCTGACTCGGCCGATGTCACTCTCATTCATCGAATGTATCCAGAATTCTCCATGGCAGGTATGAACATCATCACAAATCGACTTGCGAATTCCTCGGCACAAACTGGAACGGCAAGGAAGGTCAATACAGCGTACCGCAAATTCCGACACGTCAAGTTTAGTCCCGACCCATTGTCCATTCCACTCTTAGTGTTCATAACACTTGGGTTCATATGTAGCACAAGTGTAAGCATCATGTATCCGGTATTTGAGAGGATCAATAATGTCAGAGCCTTGCAGTATTCAAATTCAGTCTCGGTAAGTTTCTCCAGCGACCTGAACATTGTGTGCTTTTGTCTGACATAAAAATAGTCTGCAGCACTATGGACAGCCTACCTGATCTTTGATATGCACATTGGAATCATCACGTCCGTCGTAACATGGGCAATTATCTTCGCGGGCGGAAATAGCCGGATCTGGTATGAATCAACATTCATCCTCTTTGCCATACTGCTATTCTGTATTGCGACTTACCTAGGGCTTTACATCTGCTCTTTATTCCTCCGAAGAGCTGCGTTTGCAGTTGCAGTTGGCGTACACATCATGCTAATGGTGGTTTATCTCATCGCAGTAAGTGCCCCCCTCATACTTCTGAATGATTCTAACGGAAAAAAGTATGTCGTCAATGATTCCAAGGAACCTGTGAACGCATACGAAATAACCTTCGATATTCAAGGCATACTTGGTCTCACCTCGCCAGCAGCTAACCTACTCCGAACGTTCTTTATAGCAACCGATAACTTCGGCATCACCTGCGGCGAGACAGGTTGGTATGATCTGCATCCCATAGCATTTCAACTTTATGGTGGTGTCTACATTAATCTGATTCTACAGATTATGTTCTGTAGTATTGTGCTCACATATATCGAAACTGGAAGCTCAGCGTGGTTTCTCAAGCTTCTTCCAAAGAGAAAGATGCCAGCGACTCCAGCACAATTAGACTTTGGTATTGAGGGAAGAGAGTCTCCGAACTTCGTACCAACAGTAGAGCACGATGATGATATCCCTCTCAAGACTCTCAAGGGAAAAAGCAGTGCACCCGTCCTCGTTCTCTCCAAGATAACCAAATTCTTCAAATCACTGCTAGCAGTACAAGAAATATCTCTCGCCATCTCCACGAATGAAACCTTAGCACTTCTCGGTGCCAACGGTGCCGGAAAAACAACAACCATCAACATGATCCGTGGGCTCCTCACTCCTGATCATGGCACCATAACCATAGATGGTATCAATGTCCTCGCTTCGCCCCAACAAGCACGAATCCACACTGGCGTTTGCCCTCAAGATGACGCAATTGACGAGCTCACCGTCCGCCAAACCCTAAGCTTCTACGCTAGTATCAAAGGTCTGCGAGACGTCAGGGGGAATGTCGACGGCGTGATGCGCGCCTTCGGCATAGCAACCTTCGCCGACCGCCTCATTACCAAGCTGTCGGGCGGCACAAGAAGGAAAGTTATGGTTGCGATCGCCATCCTCGGGAACCCGCAACTGCTGCTGCTGGACGAGCCTTCGACTGGGCAAGATGCCGGTGCCAAACGCGTTTTGTGGAAGATCTTGCGTTCGCTGAGCAACGATCGCGCGATTCTGATCACCACGCATAGTATGGAAGAGACGGAAGCACTTGCTACGAAAGTGGCCATTGTCGATAAGAAAATGTTGGCTTCGGGCACGACGTCGCAGTTGCGATCGCGCTTTGGAGGGTTTTATCGCGTGCGGGCGGCTTATGAGGTTGGGAGGGAGAGGGAATTGGAGGCGGCTCTGGGGGTTATGTTTGGCACACAAGTGCGGAATCTCACGTGTGCTTTTGGCGAGGTGGAGTTTGAACTGCCGTATGAGAGGAAGATGATCGGGAGGATTATGCTGAGTATGGAGACTTTGATGGTGAATAAGGAGGGTGTGCTGGGGATTGAGAGGAGGATAGCTGGGGAGGGAATGCCTGAAAATGGGGCGAGAAATGTGTCGAAGGTGTTGAGGGACTATACTATTTTAGAGCCATCCATGGATGATGTTTTCTTGAATGTTTCTAAAGAGGCCGAGATCGGCATCTTGTAGAGAAATATAAGATTTTTCTGTAGAGAGAATCAATTTCGAATCTACACTCAGGATATACAAGTTGCCCTAAATATCTCCCCACTTCAAAATCGAGGCTGCTATTAATTGAGGAGAGGGTTGAACCTAATATAAGAGCTTTAATTATTAGATGCAACTACTTAAACGTTTCTCAACCGCCTCATGGTTTTCACCACCTCTTCTACTTCATTATATATCAAATCAATTTACAACGCAAGTACACCTCGAAAGTTCCAGGATAGCGAACGTCCCAGTCTATCACTTGACCATGATTAAAATCATTCTAACTCCTCTAAATCACCTTGAAGCAACTAAAACCACTCGAAATTCTCCTCTACACTACCACAGTGCAACGATCCTCAATTGGTCGCTGGGGATTAACAAAGTAAGAGTATGAAGTCTAATTGAGGGATCTTATGGAGTAATTCGGTCAAAGTACATTACCAATAAATATGAATTGTATTTTGAAGTGGAGTTCGAAGCTCCTATCTAAAGAAACCATGCAGTCTTATAACCTATAGAGCCCTCGTTCTGGCGGGCGTTCCTTTTCTCAGAGTCTACGAGTGAGTGTATAGACTAACATTCTTGAAGAAAATACAATTCCATATCAAAAATTATCGACTAGAGATTTGCCGTTTGGGAGATCGCACGTGTTCTTTTTCTTCTGAAGTTCTTGTGAAGTCCATTTGCTTGGGTTTTTTCAATGTGAGACATTCTTATTTATTTCATGATATTTACTCCTCGACAATCACTCCTTCTCTTCTCTCCTCCTCTCAATATTACAGATCCCATCAACCTATCAACCCTAACACCATGGCTCGACCAGGGTGAGTAGGAGAAGAAGGAGAAACTTCCTCGATGTTTACGCTGCGTTTGATAGAGAAGTAATGAGGAAAAAGGTTTACGTAGAGATTACACGACTTTGAGATTTTGATAACCCATTAAGATTAAGATTGAGCCAAGATTCACAGGAAAGAAAGTGACATAATTGTACTCTTATCTTTGTTTCTATATTTAATAGAGAGTTGAATAGGGAGGAGATACAAACACATTACCATGAAATATTTCTTGCTCATCTTAGTTCACCATGATCCGTTCAACGAGACAGATGAAAGATTAAGGATTTTTTCCGTTTTTATATCCACTTTGACGGGGAATAACTGATGATCAAACAATCCAAACCTACAGCTCCTTCATTTCTCTCTCAACTCACCCCTCATACCCCTCCAAATTCCCTCGCCAACTCAATCAAAACATCACAAACCCGTTCTGGCTGCACAAGCTGCGGACCATGTCCCGTATCCATATCCCTCACAATCCACTCTTCCCCCATATTTTGCATAAACATATCCTGAAACTGCAACGGGATACTCGTATCATTGAGGGTTCGAATGAATGCGATTTTTCCTCGGGAAGGTTCTTGATTCCAGGAGCCGCGTGGACAGGGTGAGTGCCAGAAGGCGTAGCTGAGACAGAGAGTAGAGGTTACGATGACGTTTTGGAAGAGGAGAGGTTTGACGTCGGAGTGGAGGGGAGGACCGGGGTCGGCGCAGTTGAGTATGCCGGAGGGTTCCTGGAATGGGGTGTTAGGGAGAGATAGAGATGAAGGGAGGGGATGGATTATAGGAAATTAGAATTTAGGGGTATAGTTGGGGACAATCTTTCTACCAAGCGCGACAATGATTCTTTCATCTACCACTGGGTAGTTATGAAAATGGGAAGATACTTCTTTCCTTCTCCATCCCACCTGATACTCAAAAAATCAAAAGAAATTCTCAAGAACTTCCAAGAATTCAAAATAATCGAGAGGAAAAACCAGCGAAAAACCTCACATCAAGTGTAATGTGCGGCGGAAGTAATCCTCCCAACGCATCAACAATAGTCCCTCCATCACCTCCTTTCACCAACAACGATGCAATATATATCCGTCCCAAAACAGATGATTTCTTACCCGCTACTTCGCGATATTTTTTGCCTAGTCCATAGGCAGCGGCGCTGCCGGGGATCCCGCTTTTATGGTGGATTTGAGTTAGCATTTTTGTTTGTTTTCCTTCCCCCATAGTCTACAATTTTCATTACTATCTCTTTCTTTTGAATCATCTCCTTTCTTTTCTCGCCTTTCCCCAAACAGAATCAAAATCAACCCCCCAAAAAACATACCTATAAGAATGCATAACCAACACCACGTCATGCCCCTCGGTATCCAAAATCGGCAATAACATATGTTCGCGCATATACTCTGCATCCACCTACGTGGTTACATTCTTTCCATTTCCGGGGCCGGTACTAGGGAGAATGGTGGAGTAGACGGGGTGGCCGCGAGTGAGGAGAAAGTGCATGAGAAGGCCGTAGTGGGCGGGGGATTGGGAGGCTCCCGGCACGAGGACGAATACGGGGGTGGAGGGAGGACGCATCGCTGGGAGGGGGTGAGAGGGGGTAGTGGAATTTGAGCTTAATGTATAGATTCTCTATTTGACACTGAAGACTTGAGGGAAAAGGAACAAAGAGCGAGGAGGAAGATCTCTCTCTTTATATTTCGATATAAATATTGGGGTGATACCTTACATATCCATACTTTCAACCATCAATTCATACACCTACACACCTTCATAAGATGACATACATAACATATCATACCATCCACAGTTATCCACATCTTACCAACCGCTGGATACATAGTGAATATGGATAAATACATCCGAGTATAAACGAGACAAACGGGTATGATTGGGTTGCTAATATGTTGGTGAAAAAAGTAGGTAAGTAAGTAATACCAATAGTGCCAACCGTAGAGTACGTAGCTAAGTAGGTACCTGGATACCTTACATAATGTTTGGATTTGTTGGCGGCGTGGAAGTTATTCGTCGTCAGTACCTAGGTTAGATTAGGATATAGCATTATCATTGTCATACCTCGACGATCGTGATCTAGATACCTAGTGAATGATAAATAATTGGTTATATGATCAATCCCCATCCTCAGATCCAAATTAAATTAACAATTATTATCATTAATATCACATGATGCTTGTTATGTTGAAACCATGCCGCGTTCCAGTAAACAGCAATCTCAAGTTCAATTCCATGTAATCCAATCGGAGGTTGAAAATTCCACACTCTTTGATATGTGAGATAAAGCTCTATGAACCTAGTGATGTATTCCAATAATACCTTATATTCAAGCTAAAGATGCATGTGTTCAGGGTACTGAAGACCGGAACCACATTGCAGAATAACAAATATATATATACCAGAAACCCTAATTGAAAAAAGATATAACTATGTACCTAAACAGTTGTCGCAGTTAAATGTGTACATGTTCCAGAAAGTTGAATTCTCGTACGATAGGCCGCATTATTGATTGCCCAATTCGCTTCCCAAATATCTGTATTTCCCTGTCCGCTAAAATCATTGTATTAGCATCAAACCCCATCACCATAGAATCAATATGGAGTTTACGAAAACTTACACTCTAATTCCATACAAAGTAACAAAAAGACTTCGTGCGCGCACAACCATCGAGTCCAAGGTTGCACGAATGAAGTTGGGCCACTCAGCTGCGAGATTCGATGGGAGCTGAGTGAGCACTGTATTACCAAACCAGGTATCGAAATCCTGAAGATCGGAATAGATAGCTTCGAATGTTTCACAGAATTGATCCCATACATCGGCATTGTTTAGGTAACTGAAAACCATGCCTAGAAGATGGTCAGTAAGGTGTTGAAGAGAGAAGATGGAAAAATTGAATGCTGCTCACCCATGTCTTTCACAGCCAATAGTTGCTCTTCCGCTGTCATACTTCGATACGCAGCACCTACGTCGGGACTGATAGCTCTGAAACCAGAGGTAAGCTAAAGATGTAAGTAAAACGCAGCGCTGAGTATTCAATGTAACAACTTACGGTGCCTTTCATCAGGTTCGGTCTTGCCATGAGGATAGTCAAGCGATCAAGATGGGCAGTGCTTCCTAACTCAGAGAGTAAAAGTCCAAAAAATGATCCCTCAAGGGTCGTGCCTATATCCCACATTTTTATGGTTGTACTCTGTACGTATTGCTCTAAAATATTCCCCATTAGCTTCTTTCTCATATTGTACCCTCGGATCAATTATACTTACCAGTCCAACCACATGGCACTTGATTTTGCGGATTTGGATATATATTCACGGTTGCTGGTTGATTGGTCACTCCGTCACCACTTAGCCAAACTTTGAAAAAGTCTCCAATAAGCTGACCCTCAAGAACATGCTCGGCTATTGGTAGTGAGACAAGTTAGCTGAATGTCAAGATCTTGAAAAGGGATGAAATGAAGTGAATGAGGGCTAAGGATGACTAACTCTGGTAATCAGCTCTGATAGCGGCGCCGCCAGTATTCACCGTGTCGGCGGTCGGCTTTGCAAAGACACCCCAGTCTGAGCAGACAGCTGAGCTATTGCCATAATATCTTTCAATGTCATCCCATTTTCCATTTTGAATGCCATCCCAGTCGTAAGCCTGGTTGGAGGGGAAAGCTGGGTATGCGTAGGGCTGACCTAGGTAGAACTTGGTGCCTCCGCAGCCAGTAACCTCCTTACTGCTGATTGTTGCAACGCCGTTGACTCGAGGCACCAAATGTGCACCATCTCGCTCCTCGAACTGTGAAGCCTCGTCGCCAATGAAAACTGAATCACCATAGTCAATACTAGACTCGCTAGAACTTTTTTCCCTTGCAGCGATTTCTCGCTTTCCCGGTAAGGCGATGATGTTTGATCCGGGCCAACTGCCATCGACATTGATAGTGTCACATTCTGAGCACGGATCTATATCTTGGAACCCGTACACACACCTCAAGCATAAACAACCACAGCAATCACCATCATTCTCCGAGGTCTCGGTACAACTTACACACCCACCATTAGCGCATGTTATAGCGGAGATGGCGCCTATTATCGTGCCCCCAGCACCAATAGCGAAAATTGCGGCTCCTGCAGGGCTCAATACGTCAGAAAAGTCAATTGGGCCGCCTGCCGCATAGCCAAACCCAGGAAATCCCCCGGAAGGAACACGAGAAGTAATCTCAGTAGAGCCATTTACATCCCGTTTCTTTTGACCGAGATCTAATTCGATAGCATAGCATAGTTCTGATGAATCAGGAGATTGCTGTAAGGTTATTAGTTTTGCATTTCAATGCGAAAGGGGTAGCACACACCCGATCGTAAACCAAGTCGACTATTCCATCATCCCAATCCAGTTTATCTCTATATTCTTTGGTTAGATGTGTTTACTTTTCCATGAATGAAGCTGTCAAGATTGACTACTTACGTTGACGATATGACTGTCTGAAAACATTGAGTTCTATTTGAAACAATGAGGTTAGTAAATTGTTTCTTGTCTTCCGAAACATTTCCAAGTTTCGATCAGAGTTCTCTTGATTGTGAGAAGTATACTTACGCGATATCGTACTCAACGCAAACTTCACTGGGGTCCGGGGTGAATGTGAATTGTGCCAAAGTGTTCCAAACGAGTTGAAACTGGAACAGTTAGTAAAGAACTGTAAGTCTGTGTTACTGGGGAAATCCTACATCAACCAACTCCGACTCTTGTGCAGTAGTCACAAACTTTGATAATCTCCATCCCACGTCAATTTCGACACCAAATCTGACATAATTGGCAATCCCTATAGATCCACCAGCCCCCGAACTGTCATACATGACATTTGTGGTTGGAATACTGATTTGATTTATGTTTCGCTCGCCATTATAAGGGAAAGGAGTATTGGAAGTATCCGACATATTTGGCGGGAAAGAGGCTGTGAATTGACCAAGGTCCGTAACAACGCGTGCTTCTAACAGCCCATCAAATGGAGCTGTAGCACCGGCGGCAGAGTTCGCATCACTATCACCGGTTGATGCATTGAATGTTGCGACCTCGTAATCGATTTCGTAGTATGGTTTGAAGGTGACCCAGTTTCCACCGTCTACATCGACCGTATTGCCACCAACGTACGAGGGTGTGCCTTGAACCACAGCGGGATTACCTTTGTTTGCTTTCCCTATGTCAAAGTTGCCAACACCACCCACACCGAACGTTAAGTCCGTGCTACCTGTAACTGATATGAACCCACTAGTCTGAGAGGGCTCAATCGCTAGACCCGTGCTTTCCACAGTTCCCTGTTTGAAGATTGTGGTCAGTAATTCAAGACCTTTTCTACTCTGAAAGTTGGGATACTTACAATCATGGAGAAACCGTAAAACATGTTAGATTTCACATTTCCAGAAACATAAGCCGCTATACCCTCCGTGAAATCTTCGCCGTCCACATTACACTGGGCCGTGGAAGTTGTTTCCCAAAACAGAGCCCTAGTAAGATCCACGTTGATAGTCTGCTCGAAAGAATTGTCCACGCCGAACGTGGCATAGTACTCTACCATCTTTTCCTGCCATGTTGAAGCCGTGGGTGCAAAGTAACGAGCCTCGAGATTATTGAGATCGCGGGATTGAATGCCCGGAGCATCAACAATGCTGTTCCAATATGTCGGCAAATTACAAATGTCGATGCGGAAGGTAGTGGGGGTATCTGTATCTCTCTTGGCGAGTTCCATATTAAAGTCGAATTTGAAGTCATAGACTTTCGAAGTGGGCGCCCTTTTTCCTATAGCATCTTGAGCCACATGTTGATCTGCAGTAAATTATTAGCGGACTAAGAGCAAGAGGATGTTGATGAATCTTCAGTGGACTAGGGTTCTGAAAGTAGTTGTGGCTCGAAGAAAGACTGACCTTTGGAAACTTCAAGAGATATTGCCCTAGCAAATGTGTTTTCGGCGCACTGCAAGATCATGTCAGCTTACCATTGAACATGTAACGGCCGATCTTACATTGTCTGGCATCTCAACAATTGTTCCCTCAACTCCCCCTTCCAATACTTGGAAACACCCTTTAAGATCAAGGCTAAGGCAAACAACTCTAGCTGTATGAACCAGACTGCTGTCATCCTCGTGGACATTGCTTGGACAGTCAAGAAATACAAATGGTTCTGCCATACCATCACGCTTTTTCAGATTTGAAACTGAAGAAGAATCGCCAGAAACAATCATAAAACCAAATCCAGTCGCGCCAGGATCCATTGAACCGGTAGCAGCCCCGGAACCGAAGTTTATAAGGCTTTAATTATGTCAGTAATATCACTAGCATCGAGAATGAGATATGTTTTGGAGCTCCAGACGTACCCATAATTGATTGTGCTGTCATTGGAAGGAAGGAGATCGCTGGGAAACAAATAATCAAGGGGAACCAGTGAAAATGTTACACCAGAATCGCTCAGTAAAGAACTATCTGTGATAGCATTAAGAGCATCATGATTCGCATCGTCTAGATCAATGGCCCACTTGAAGATAATAAAGTTAGCATCTCGATGTCTCTGGATACTTTGCAAGGAATAAACCAGTTCAAGAACCGTCTCTAGAGCAATTATTTCCCCGAAATAAGATTCAAGAAATAGGTCACAAAACGACTCAGCTCTTGAAATAGCTCATCCAGGAAATTCGTTCAACAGGATCTTGACTTACAACCATGAGCCCTGAGAGTCCCATCTCGTTCGCATACTCGATCTTCGCAGCCCAAGTGAGGGCATTATCATAGCTGCATCTGTCATCAGTTCATCTGGGCCAGCTCTTGGGACTTGAGAAGACTTACGAGACCCAGTTGTTATCTCCATACACCATATACTGGACAGCAGCAGTTTCATCAGTATAAGGTGCTGCACCAGTGTCTGTTATAATCTGCATCACCTCTGTCCGGGTCAATTGTCAGAAAAGTCTTTACTCCCACGCACTATTAAGATGCTTACCTCGGTAAGACAAGATTCCAGGAGTTTGGGTGCAGGGACCTGCAGCTCCAGCAGCGACAAAAGAACAACCTGGCTGCCAGCTATTCAAGAATCAATACGTTGCTTCCAATTCTGTTGGGTCTCAGGACCAAGGAACTTACCATGATGGATCGGAAAGCTGGTATGATCTTCCATAAAAGCCCAATCCCATAACAATATCAGAAGGATCAATACCAACACGCCAGAACTACAAGACAAGCTTCAAGTTAGCATCAGTTCATGCTCACAACAACTTCATAATGTTTTTACATACCAAATCCAGCGCAAGATCAATCTCGGTAAGATTGGTATGAGCAAGCACCTCGGAACCAATATACACATCCTCAGCATCCCATACACCGTGGAGATCATAAGTCATAAGATTGATCCAATCAACCGACTCGACCATTCCTGGCAAATCGAAATTTTGCAGGTACCAATAACTTGTGGGAGCTGTAAAAGTGACAATATATTCCTTTCCGGCGGCTGTGATAGCTGCTCGTAACTCCTGGAGAAAAGACACATAGTTTTCCGTATCTGCAGGAACTCCGCTGCGGTCCGATGCACCGGGATATTCCCAATCAAAATCTACTCCATCATAGCCATACTCACCAAGCCAGTTGAGAACGTTTTGGATGCAAGTTGCGCGAGTCCCTGAGGAAGAAACCATGTTCGAAAAGATGGATTGGTCGAAAGCCCAACCACCAATGGAAATGAGGATTTTGAGATCGGGATTTTTAGATTTCACGTTGCCTACATTCTGATAGATTTCTGAGGCCACTCCATCCATGTTAGTAATATCGTAGTCGGCAGTGATGTAGGCGAAAGCCACATATAAATGGGTAAGCAAGGCTGCTGGAATTTCACCAGGAGTCATGGTACCCTACAAATTTTATTGTTAGACAGGATCTTTGAGTATATGGTGTGCCTGAGTTTTCTCGGGAACGTTTGAGAAGCTTCTAATTATCAAGAGGATTTATCACAATTGATAGCTCTTCTGGTTTTAATAAATGGAAGGGATTGGTTGAAGTAGGGCACTAGCTCATCGTCACTTCACTCCTAGATCCGCAACCATTTGGAACATGGGAAACAATGTCTCTGCGATACTGCTGGAGCCAAACTTACACATGGATTCTGTGAATTCCAACTTTCCCAGTAGCCAAGGACTCTACTTTGAACATTGCCGGGGACTGAATTAGGTAGTGGTTGGGAGCAATCAGATTGACATCCTGTGCCACAGAAGTCGCTAGTAGCTATTCAGGGAGTTAGCATCGACTTTTTAGCAGGCAATAAGTGGGAAATAATGAAAGTGAGTAGGAAAGATTAGTGACACATACTTCCGCAAAAGCCAAATTCTGAACAACAAACGTTTAGAGGGCACGTCTGGCCTGCACTTGCAGCATATTGACCACAGGCAGCTGTAGCGTCACAATTAGACTGGCAACCGTCGCCACAATAGGTTCTAGAATATAGTCAAGAGTTAGATTGCTTTTTCTACATGTTCCAAGAGCCAAGACATTGTTTGTGAGGGAAGTGATCTTCGCAGACAATAGTCTCCACTCAGGAACCATCCGAATTGAAGAGTCTTGCTCTGAGGCAGTTAACTTACGGTCTGTGAAATGAATAAGTTAGCATCATGTATTACGGAATTTTTGTAGAACCGAGAACGAATCGAGACTCAATCACGAATTGAGATTAGCAATCTTGCCAGTAAACTTACCCGTAACCACACCAACCACTTTCACCGCAGCAAGCTCCGTTGGTGCAAGGGGAGTCTGGGCCACAGGTATACGTGCCTGAGCCCGTTGACGTATTCGAAGCAGTGGTAGTTTGGCGAAGGAAAAGATCTGCGTGATGAACTGGTGCACCAGTATCTTCCACTGACGAGACATCAACATCAAATGAGTGTGACTTGAAATAAGATCCCACTTCAGGGTAGGATCTTGAAAGGACAAGTAAAGATATCAAAAGGAGTGTCACAGGCAAATATAGCCTGGAGAATGGAAACGGCATAGCAAAGTATAAGGAGTGGAACGTGGTCAATTTTGTTGAAACGGTAACCACAGAAAGGTCTATTGCTTCATGAAAGGAGCGATTGGAATGATATATGGGAATAGAGATACTAGGGAGCCATGGCCATCTTGAGTTGAAAGCGATGGCACAACTCCAATTCCGAATCCCATGGCCAACTGAACGAGCAAGCTGACAACATCAAACTAGCAAAGTAAGCTTGCAAGATGACCTTGAATGCAATTGGAGGATAATATCTTCAGACGTCGGAGATGAACATTGAGAGAGGACATTTTTCTAGCTCAGCTCTAGCAAAATCTCGATATAACGTTGCATTCCCATCTCAAGCGCCAGGCGTTTTTAACTTCCAGCCGCACTTATCTTTCCATTATCTCCAATTAACTGCCACTAGCAATATTGCATTTCGATACTTTGATTGCTGCCGGATCAACTGACTTACAGAAATGGCCCAGGGATAGTCTGGGCTGAGGTAAGCCCTAAACAGCGTACGTCACCACAGACCTACTGCAGAGAAGGCAACTATCTTCAGGAAATCTTCGAAATTTCACAATGTGATTGATGTCAAAATCACAAAAGATCTAATTTCGGCTTGTGCTGTGCCGGAACGATTGTGCCCAAGGCATCCAAACTATAGATAAAAATAAATCAGAACGTATGTTATTGGATCTCACGCTTTCCGCCCCACCTCAAACTAGCGGCATCGATAAGGCATATCTAAGGATCTTGGCAATTTAGGGTAAGGTGGGGTATCTTAACCTTGTACAGAGTCGCATCAATTACCCGCATTCAGGTGAAACTCATCTCCGCAAAGATAGGATTGCAGGGGTCTTTGGTGAGATTCACATCCCCTTTCCTTTTGCATAAATAAACCCTGGGATAATTTTGTTTCAATAGTTGTTGACGACCGGAAAAATCGTGAAACGTCTCTCATAATCCCCCTGCAATGATAATGATAATTTCCAAGAGTGAGCTTGTGATATCAGTATCGTAGTTGTGGCTTCATATACTTGTCAGCAATTAGAATGGTAGGTGTTGCGCAAAAGCGAGGCGTGATTTAATCAAATGTGAAGAGCATGGTCGTTCATAGAGGGGTCTATATGCTGACCCTCGCCCAAAGAAAAGGTAGAGCTCCAACGACTTTTCACTCCATCTTTCATTCATACCTATTGATATCGAGATGAAGGGCATCATCTCTTCTCTCTTGATCTGCGTAGGGGCCGTCCAAGCTTCAGTTCTGGACCTACTTCCACGACTTCTCCAACCTGAGAGCAATATTGTTGAGCGAGCCAATGCCACCACTACTGGCGACTGCTCGCTTCATACCATCCAAAGTGGCGATACATGTTTTACCATTGCATCGGCAAACAATGTCACCTGGGCACAGCTCACATCATGGAATTCAGACCTCACTTCAACATGCTCGTGAGTGAATCTTAGCCAGAACTTTCTTTCTTGCTCTCAATCTTTAAGATCAAACTCAATGATAAGATCTAGAGTCGGAAGGTAGTGAAGGCAGGTCTTTGTGTACCTAGAAGTACTCTTGAAGTTTTAGAATAGGATCATCACTACTGTAATGAATGCTTAGCTAACATATGGGTGAAGGAACCTTCAAGATCTTGCCAGCGTATGTGTCACCAACCCCTTAGGTACTTATGCAATGCCTACCAACACAGTCGGTGTGACATCCATTGTCACCGCAGCTGCGTAAGAAACCATGCGATCCAGAAGTTATGCGCATTGCTAAAGTAAATTCATAGTGCACTACCCACTGCTGCGATGGGCGGGAGCAACACTGACTGCGGGCAATGGTACCAAATCCAGGGAGACGGAGACTACTGCGATTATATGTCCGAAACATTTGACATTTCGCTTTCAGACTTGTGAGTTGCCGCATTCGAGTCTCCCGCCAAGCTTGTTAGTTTAACCATTACCAGTCTATTTCTCAACCCCGAGGTTTGGGCAAATTGTACAAATCTCTGGGCTGGATCATACTACTGTGTTGAACCTGTAGGTTACATATCAACGTATCCAGGGTACGGGCAGACAACAACAACAGTTCCCTTCAGCCAAACACCGACAACGACCATGCCATATATCGGTAGCCTCTTTGGGAACTACACAACATCCGATCCCGTGATTCCACTTGCCAATGGCACACGGATCGATTGCTATGGGTAGGCTTTGAAAAGAACCCAAGCTTTTCGTTGACACAATATGCTGATTTTTCTTCCTGCAGGTATATTTGGTTCAATAGTACCGACGGTAATGAGGCTGCAGATTGTTGGAATCTTGCAACCGTGTTTGGTAACACAGCTTTAGTATGTCTCACTCTTGCACAAATTCTCGGGGAAAAGGGAGACCAGTGTGAGTCGACTAACATTAGAAAATAGGAGTAAGCAAACTGAATCGCTACCACTCTCGGAAAGTCTTGGATTCGCCAAGCTCGCTAACCTTTTTCTTTAATTAGATTCATACTCTGGAATCCATCGCTAGCCGAAGCGAATTCAACTTCAACTTCGCTAATCATTCCGACTGGAACAGTCCTCCCCACAACGGTATCAAGCAATATATATACATACCCATGTACAGTGGCACCAAGCAGTTCCTACTGCATTAACTATGCTTCTAGCACTTCCGGTAAGTCTATCCTTCTCAATCAAGTGTCCCCTCCATTTGGAAATGTTTTCGCTGAACCAAATATTCACTCTTGATAGTTGCTTCCGCAGTCATCACACCGCAGCCTCTCGCAGCCGGCGAAACTGTGAACTGCACGCAATGGTTCGCTCCACAATCTTACAACACATGTGAAGATATCCTTGTGATATTCAACCTCAATATCACTCAGTTTTATGACTGGAATCCATCTGTTGGGTCCGATTGTGTTGGCATGGATCTCGGAACTTATTACTGCGTGTCGATATTCCCAGGCGGGCAACCCCCTTCGGAGCCAGATCCAGACGGAGATGCAACTCCAACTAGTACAAGTGTCTCGACACCATCTCCAATACCGACAGACACTGTATCGAATTGCGACAAGTTCGTTGAAGTTGTGTCGGGTAATACTTGCGAAGGTGTTTATACGGCAGCTAATATCACCTTTGCCACCTTTTTGTTATGGAACCCGAGTATAGGATCAGGTTGCCAATTTTTAGACTTGAACGAATATTATTGTGTAGGCGTCTCCGGAACTACCTCAGCAACAGCAATCTCCAGTACGACTGCGACTTCAATGACTGCGATTTCAACGCCTTCTCCTATTCCAACAGATACTGTCTCGAACTGCGATGCCTTTGTTGAAGTGGTAACAGGGAACACCTGTCAAAGTGTCCTTGATGCAGCCAACCTCGATCTCGCCACCTTTTACAGCTGGAACCCGAGTGTTGGTCCGACCTGTGAGTTTTTGGATCTGAATGAGTATTACTGCGTGGGAATCTCCGCAGCAGTCACGACAACATCCGCTGGCAGTGCAACTGCAGTTTCAACGCCTTCTCCAGTGCAGACTGGCATTGTATCAGATTGCGATCAGTTTTATGAGGTTGAGACGAACGATTCGTGTGAGATTGTCGTTGGAAAGTACGGAATAACACTCGATGAGTTTTACTCTTGGAATCCTGCGATCGGGAGCTCGTGCCAATTTTTGGAGTTAAATGTATATGTATGCGTTGGGATCTCTTAGAGGGTGGGCCACAGACCTGAAATCGTTTCTTTAATGTTACGTGTTTATTCAGCTTTATCTTTTGATTCATGTAATGAAATATATTATGGTGCTCATATAATTGCTTTTTAATTGTGAGACCGAGCCAGCTTCCTTCTGTCATCTAAATCAACATATGCTCATAACCTGCAATACTAAATTCTTTAGCTGTGCATATACCACTCTGTAATCTTCCTGTACGTAGTTTTATCATTTGGCTATGACAATGTCAACTTCAAATTCTCATCGGTCTTAGCGTGGCTATGTTGAATAGTCCTGAGTCATTGTTTCATGTTCCAAAGCCCTCATTCAGGGGAACAACACCCGAAGTTAGATCGCTCAATGCCCATCTTGTGTATCAGTGCATTGCCGTTTGACCTGGCGCCAAATGGGTTCTCTTTGTCGCCGTAGATAAACCCGTTCGCTTGGTCATCTACACATTGATATCGCATAGGAGTGTATCGCATGCTTGATCCGTGGACATGGATTATGAGCTTAGGTCTTGCGTTAGCAGCTCGGTCACGCCAATCGAGAGTATCGCGTATATCAAGAAGAATATCGCGGTAGTTTCCACGATCACCGACGATTTCCAGAAAACTTAATTCAACAAATCGAAGTGTTATCGGAAGCGCACCGAGCAAGGAAAGTAGATCAGGCCCATCTACAATGAAATTTGAAAGACCAAAATATTGAAGCTTCTGCCATCGATCAACGGGGAAGATGGTTTGAAGTGGAATGCGATTTTGCTCGAAATCGGGATAAATTTGACCGTAATCAGCCGTTATTCGGAGGCTAACATGATCCAAGTCGGGCGCCGCCTCGAACATTCTTTTCAAGTGACCACTACGGAAACTTGACCAGTCATCATCATAATACTGTCCATCAGCAAGTAGGGCGAGATCTATGCGACGGAAGCCTGGCTGTCGAATTAGATGAACAAGATTGTCATACTCCTCACATGGTTCATCAAAGACACGACAACTCAGTCCTGTTGAGAGTTCTCTAACATCCATGATCAACTCTGAGATATGGTGGTCATTCCGTCCTGCAAGTACGTTGGTGATAACACAAAACCCTCGCCATTGTTTCTTAGCAGTCTCATCATTCCATGGAGGCAAGATATAAAGCCCAAATGGTCCAGAAGATGGCCAGCCGCGTGGGATTGGATAGTTGAAACCTTTTGGAAAAGATTTTATCATAGGCGTTTCATAAAGGGGTCGATCCAAACTACCATGAGCGGCGGGTGTAATAGTAATTCTTCGTAGTGATTGAAAGCGCTCCAGGACATACGTTAATGCATTAACATCAGCCCCAGATATTAGCACTTCTTCCTGCTGCTCTAGAAGCGTCTCGTAGTAACTCCATGATTCAGAAAATGGCAAAAACTCTCGTGTCTTTGGCCTTTTTCTGTCTCTTTTGAGATTTTTTAAATTCTCAATGTTGTCCTTGCAAGCTCGTATAAACCAGGTGGGAGGGTCATCTTCCGCCCGAGGAGATTCTGCTAGCAAATGAATTGCTTCATTAGGCCTCACAATTTCGTGGACAAGTAGAGCATCATCCCATATAATCTCTTGAACTCCTTTGCGAAAGTTTTCGTTGTCAGCAATCGCTCGTGCAACTTCAATGTTTCGCGGATTTGCAGACAAGAAGACCCTGTCAAAATGAAGAGGAACTTCTTCGCCCAGAGCTTTGCACGTCAGACGAAGACTCTTGAGATCGGGATTTGGCAGGTAAGAGATGATAGCAGTGAGAAGCTCGGGGACAAGGAGCACGAGATTTAATTTGAATGACAAGTTGGACATGATGATTGCAATATCTGAGGGATTTTCTAATTCATTTGAGGATGAAGAGGGGAAGTTGTTGGCTTTGGATCAATTGATTTATTGATTGATTACGCAGGTGATATTGGATAACCCCAGAAGGCGCTAAACTCTTCTAGAAAATAAAGATTATCTCCATAGAATTCGACGTTAAACTTGTGAAAAATCAAAATATGAGAGAGAGACCAACACTTATTTGGACTTTCTGAAAAAGGAAAAGAAAAGAAAATCGCGGTCTCGAGGGGGTTTACAACGACCTGATTGATTTGGTGCAAATGAAACTATCCAATTGGCTGTCGCTCAATCTACACTCCTTTCTTCTGCAGAAAGAGCCTCGAGACTACTTTCTCCTTCTCTACATCTTCCCCGTCACCGCGATCTTCAATTCCACCCACTATATAAATTGTATATACTCTCTCACCAACAACCGCATATACACAAACAACCAATGTCAGTACATCTGCACAATCCATATCCCCATACCAAACAGTGGATCACTCACCACAAGCCATCCAAGCACAAAAGAAAATCCACCCACCCCACACACCCCGCTCCAGCAAAACTTCCCCCTCTCGTTTTCACCTCAAAAACAACACCACTCAGCCCAAAGTCCTCCCTTCTTCACACCCTCCAAAAACATTCCTTTCAGCAAATCAATGAAACCAAAAAGTCAAAAAGGAATTTTCCGAATCCGGGAATCGAACCCGGGGCTACTCGGTACTTTATCATGTGATAATGAAAACGAGTTATGTTAACCCCTACACTAATTCGGATGGATGTTTGATGGAGGTCAGTCAGATCTTTACGTACATATTTAACATCAAAACCACGAGTGTGAAAGATGGAAAATAAAATGAACTAATGATAATGATACTGTAGTGCAAGAAGAAACACTGAAGATATATGTGATGGTACAGGACAACGTATATGTAACATAATCAGAGGGATTCAAAATTCAAGAGACGAATCATATAACCATGTGTCAATCAATTTACCTATAAATTAAATAGCGCGAATCAAATCATGAGTAGGTCAACTCTTCTCGATTTGTTTCTCCTCCCCTCCTCCCTCCTTCTCCTTGAAAGTCTTCATATTTTGTAAACAAATAATATCTACATCTCCATTTACAACACGGTTCCACTTTTGCACGTCAAATAAATAGAGATTGTTTCTGCATCTGATAAATTTTTATATCCGCTCCATACGTATATAGGTACACATAAGAGAGACTATGCATTCTCCTCATTTCATCTCCATATAAAAAAGGTAGCTACACAACCTCACCTATTTTTCTCATGCAGGAATAATTCAAAGTAATCATTAAATCCAGCCCAGTACAGATATAAATATAAATACTAATCTAAACCCTCCTCTTCCTCCTCCCCTTCCTCCTTCCCCAACCTTCGCTTCCCCTTATCACCCGTCACTCTCATCACCCCTAAACATATCATCTACAAACCCACAAGCTCTTGTTCAACCCCCTCATTCAAGCCCTCTCGCCTACTCGCAATCCGATCATTTCAAGATTCACTTTACACCATATCATTTTACACCTCTTCCTCTGCTTTCTCGAAAGTATATCCATACATATCTATTTGCCCATCTCCCCCTCTTCCCTTTTCCCTTTTCTCTTGTTCCCAATCCTCACAATATCTAATGTCTCCTTACCCACCTAGATGATATCAAACTCGCATCCCTAGACACTCATCGATCCATCAAATCATATCGTATTGAAAAGGCTCAGTTACCAGTATACTTTTTTTTCATTTCATTTCAATTCTTCATCCATTCTGTTCTTTCCAGATCTATCATCTATGTATTCCTCTCTCCATACCCTAGTCCAAGATTCATGCACTTACACATCTAAGCATATAAACATCAAACCCCCATGCATACTATGTAGGTAAATAAAAACTCCAATAACCCATATTCTATTAAAGAAAATGTCATTCTCGAGTGATATCACATCACATCACATCATGACCTGAATAGACTGCCATTTTCTCTTCCTCGACCCCCTTCCCTTCCCAACCCATTCACAATCATCCCTTTCCCTTCCCCTTATAATTCGGTTGCCTCTCATAAGCATTCGGACTTCTTTTCCTTTCTTTAGCCTTTCCCTTTCCTTTCCCATGTCCACATCCATCTCCATGTTGATGATCGTGATCATGATCATGTCCACTACCTTTCCCTCCACCTCCAGAAGGTTTCGCACTCCCATCATCATCATCACTACTACTATCATCGCTGTCACTCGAACTTTCATCCGAGGATTCATCGATAGGTCGAGGAGCGTGGTATATACAACAAACTATGAAATTCTCGTTAGTTCACCATTCCAAGTGAAGATTTCAACCATCTGGATTCCACCGCTTCCATTTCTCCCTTAAGCAAGATCCTCAAATCACAAATCCCAAAGACTCCAAAGTGTAGAAAAACGAAGCAAAATACCTTTACTCTTCTTCCTCCCCAACCCTTCATTATCCACCACATCTTCTGCCCACTGAATTCTCCTTCCTCTTCCTAAATCTGTTTCTCCATCCGCACTACTTTCACTTTCTGTATTTGGCGCACCTCTCAAACGTAAAACAGGTGTACTTGTATTCGATTGTGATTGCGTGATCGTTAAACTTCCGCGATTCTGTGGAGCCGTTTGTGCTTGTCCTTGAATTCGGGTTTGTGTTCGGCCCACTTGAGGGGTAGAAGTTGAAGCCATTGTTATGGCGGGGTCGACGTATTATTTGGAAGAGAATTTGTATGCGTGAGAGACTGGATATCGTGATAAAGTAGGGTAGGTAGGTAAATGTATTCCGACGATGGTGCGGAGAGTGTTCCAAATGTATGTTGCTCGCAGAAATCTTCTTGTTCCTTCTTCCTCTTGTTCCTTGTCCGTCTTTACTACCACTTCTCGCGATAAATATCGTAATAAACCCACTTCACAAATTCTCGCGATCTTGTCTCTTCGAATGTCCAAGGGTTCTCCAGTTTCTCAAGAATCTGATCCTGTCTGGCGTATCCGATAATCTTCCTTATCCCAAGATCTTTGATTTGAATTCACGTCCTCGTCTTCCTAACCTATGATATCGTATCGTGTCGTGTCGTATCGTGGCGTATCGTATCGTATCGTATCCCACCAAATCACACCTTCTGTCGTATCTCTCACCCAATAAATCTTCGTCGCAGATACTAGAATCTCAGAACCGCGTAGACGCAGTCGCAGACGTGTAATCTCGCCCAACTTTTTCCAAATCTCTCACAAGTCCTCTTCAAGCCCGCGACACAAATCTCCCTACTTCGTATAATTCTTTCAACTCTTTTCTTCGACTTCGTCTTTGTCTTTGAAATTTGGATTCGAAAGATATGCGACGAGTTCAAGTCCTCGAAGAAGGCAATCGAAGTAGGCAATCGAAGTAATCTGATTTTTCCTTAAACTCTTCTTCCTTTTCTTTCCTAACGTTATTTTCCTCTCTATCGTTGCCTTCTGCTTAATCCTTTTATCCTCTTATCAACTCAACACATCAAGCAACCCTTCAAATGCCCCAGAAATACCCAGAAATAAGCAAAAAGTTCCCTAACTCAAAAGAACCCTAATCCTAATCATAATCTTCAGCCCCACGTATGCAAATCTCTAAATCCCAAACTCAAAATTTAAACTTTAACTGTATCCTCTTAAGACTTCTGTCATGTCATGTCATGTAAATCAACCAGTCACATAAACTATTCATCCTCAACCCCTCCTCTCTTACAAAAATATCCGAGGCTGAGGCTGCGGCTGAGGCTGAGATTTAGACTGCGCTGCTGACAGAGCGAGTTAGCTACTTATGTGTGGCGTCGTGATCTAGCTCTACAACAATGTACCCTTTTTCGAAAAAAGAAAGCCAAAAAAAATCCCCCTTTAAGAATTTAGATCTCTTCTTATTAACGCCCAGATAAACACTAACCAATGCATCTAATTCCCAACCCAAAAAATCTTCCAATTCTTTGTTTAGGTGCCTAGCTTCCGCTTGTGTAATATTCAAGTCTAGTCTTTTCAGCCACAGATACCTACCTACTACCTACCCATCTGCTTCATGCCTAGATATCGATCGATTCACAATCTAGACCGTGCTGGACTGGACTGGATTGCGTCTTATAAATAATTACTTTTTACCTCCTGGAGTAGCTCTCGAATAACAAATGTTTAAGTGAGTTATAGGTAATATAATACTTTGCCTTGGAAGAATTGTAAAAGTAGGATACAATTTATCCTTAGAATTTACAATTATAAAAATATTACAAAAATCTAATCTTTTTTCGAAAATTCGAATTAATATAAGAGTTGATATCAGAAAGATTTTTTTTGTAATAAAATTATAACATTTTCAATTTTTATTTTTATTTTTATTTTTTATTTTTATTTTTATTTTTTATTTTTGTATATATAAATAGAATAGAAATATTTGTATAAAAGATTGGATTTCTAAGAAACCAAATTTTTATTATTATTTTATATTCTTTTACTTTTCAAAAATAATAATTATTTATTAAAATAAGAATGTTTAAAAATAACTCATTTTTGTTACGAGCATCGATGTATAACCAGTATCGGGCTTACTAATGTTAATAATAAAAGAGTATTTTGTAATTATGTGAGTAGGTATTTCAAAGAAGTGCTATGCTTAATTACGTGGTGTTATACAAGACGGTGATTTCCGTGACATCATACATATATAGCTTCACTTTCGAAAGGATTTGAAGGACTTAATGAAAAGTCTTATACTCTTTAGTACTCTATCATACGCTAGTCGTCATCTTACACATTCACTCTAATAATTTTAGTGTATTTTCAAGTAATTCATTTGGTAATATGATCCACTTGGTGATGAATCACGTTATACATAGCTAGTATAGAAAGAGTGCTTTATGAAAGCTTTATTTTTAATTGTATAATTAAATTTCACTTGTTCAATTATTAAAAAATTCTATTAATGAATAAAGAAAGT